GAGCTTGTGGACTCACTTCTTGATGATCCCCACCCATATGAATACGAATGCAACAAAAGAAAAAATTATTAATGTGGAAATCAACTCCAGGCTTGGCACCGGCCACAGCTCCCCTCCCCGCTCCGCCCCCCACTCTCTGGACACACACCCTTTCTCCTGTGCTCACAGCTCGCCTCTCCGGATCAGCACGTCTGGATGGCTGGAGCTGGGGTGAAGGTGCATGCCTTCCAGGCAAGCATACTGAGGTTGAGGCAGGAAGACCAGAAGTTCTAGAAGGGAAGTTATGTGATTGGGGGCGGAAATACTATTTAGATGAAATAATCAAAGATGGGCTTACGGACAGGGTGGCATTTGGATGAAGTCCTGAAGGAGGTGAGGGATAAAGTCATGTTGGGGAAAGTCAGAGCATGCGCAGGCCGTTTATCCAGCAGTGAGGTCCCTTCAGTGCGGCTGCAGAGAGTGATCAAAGGGCCTGCATCAGAAGAGGTGAGAGAGTGAGGGCCAGCACGTAGGGTCTAGCGGCTGTCCTACTGGGAAGACTTTAGCAGAGAGGGAAGCCACTGGCAGAGTGTTCGGCTGAGGGGATGAGGTCTGACTCACCTTTTTCTTGGAAGTCTTTTACTTCCCTAAAGCAAGTGAGAGGAGCTGGGCGTGGTGGCACAAACCTTGGCATCCCAGCACTTGGAAGGTAGGGTAGGATTAGTTCTAGGTAAGTCTGGGTTACCGAGAGAGGAATATGATCAGAAAGAAACAGAGGAGGAAGAAAAGAAAGAAAGATCAAAACGAGGTGGGGGAAACATTCAGAAACTTGACAGCGGCGACCAGCCAATCTAAGAAGCACCCCCAATTTCCAAGTGAACATATGGAGTCTCAGAGCGGCCCAGATCCTTCCCTAATTAAGAACTGGCCCCAGAAGTGGAAAGGCTGGCCCTACACAGGGACCAACCCCCGGAGGCCAGAGTCCACCTTCCCCAACTCGCCCGCCCCAACGGGACTCCGGTGGGGGGGGGGATGGGCCGCGAGGCTCTGGGCGTGGCGCGGTGGCTGAGTCCCACCCACCTGCCCACCCTCCGAATCGTGCAGGCCAGCGGGCAGGAGACCTGGGAGGCAGCAGCAGAGGCCTGCAGCCGGCCTGGCGCCTCCTCCCTCCCCAGGGGCCGGGTGGGGCGGCTGGCTAGGGGCGGGACGCTCCCCCGGACCATCCTCCTTCATTCCCTCCCTCCTTCCCTCTCTCTTTCCCTCCCTCCCTCCCTCCCCAGCTGGCGAGGTCCCCTCCCACCCCCCTTTCCCTTGCCTGCCAGGCCCGGTGGCTTAGCCTCTGGTTTCATTTCTCAAGGCCCAGTCTCTCTCTCCCTTCCCCCAATCGTTGAATTCCTAACTCCTTCTGCACTTTCTGGTCCCTGCTCCAATGTCACCTCCTCAGGGAGGCTCCCTCGGACCTCCCTGGTGGCAGACACCTCTCCCTAGCACTCTGTCAACTCACCGAGAGTTCGAGTAACTGACCAGAGGCAGCAATTCTTTTTTCTTTCCCCTTTAGTCATCTTCAAGGGTCTTGTCGTCTCACTTTTTTTTTTTTTTAAATGTGGACAAAGGTCTAAAACTTCTAGCGACTTACTTCCTCTCTGGGCGTTTCCAAGCCAGTTCTACTGGCTTACCGGTCTGACAAACAGCACCTCAGGGTCTTTGCATTGACTCTACCCTGTACTGTAACTCTCGCTTCAGCATTCTTCTTCTCTCTGCTGTCAGACCTGCCAAGTGTCACCTCTTAATCTTACACTGGAGAGGTACAGGCACGAAGGTCAGGGCTTCAAGATAATTCTCAGCACCGCTCTAGGCCAACTTGGGCTCCATGAGACCCTGTCTCAAGCAAATTATCAAATGTCATCACTGAGATATCCCCATTCACTACTCCATGTTCTGCACCTTTTGTCTTATTTTCTTTTACATATATTTATTTATTTGGGCCCTGGAGAACTTGAAATCACTGTGTAGCCTGAAGCTGGCCTTGAACTCTCCAACTTCCACAGTGCTAGAACCACATCTCTGGAGTGTGTTATCACACCTGATTTTATTCTTGTGTGTGTGTGTGTGTGTGTTGGTTATGAGCCTAACCTTTAATGACTGAGCCATCTCTCTAGCACTATTTGATTTTATTTTTTACATTTCTCTTTGTGTGTGTGTGTGTGTACATACACACCACAACATTTGTGTAGAGGTCAGAGGAGAACTTGAAGAAGTCAGTTTTCTTCTTCCTCCAAGTGTGTTCTGGAAATCAAATTTAGAAAGTAGTGTTTGGTTTCAATCACCTTTACCTACGGAGTCAGTTTGTCAGCCCTATCTTATTTTTTTGTGTTTGTTTGTTTTGTTTTTGAGACAATAGTCTAGCCCCGAGCTCATTTTAAACTGTGCATCCTTTTGCCTCAGTTTCCTGGGTAGTAGGATTATGGTAGTCAACCTGGCTAAGTTTCCTTTTTGTCTTTGCCTTCTCTCCTGACCCAGGAAATAATAAAAACTATGTCACCTATGCAGGGTTGTTATGCTTGTATACAGGCCATCCATAGCAGATACTCAATTGGCGTAGGAAAACAACCAAACAAGCATGACTCTCCTGAGCTGTGAAGTGAGCTCTTGAGCCATGTGCAGGCTCTAGGCTGCACTCTTGGACACTGTTGTGCTACAAAGCACAAGCTGATCTTGAACTCCTGATTCCCTTGCTTGAGCTTAACCCAGAAGTTGGCCAGCAACTACCATTCTCTCTCTCTCTTTCTCTCTAGTTTTTCTTTTCTTTTTTTCTTTCTTTCTTTCTTTCTTTTCTTTTCTTTTTTTTTTTTTTTGAGACAGGGTTTCTCTGTGTAACCCTGGCTGGAACTTGCTCTATAGACCTGGGTCTAAAGGCATGTGCCACTGTTGCCAGGCATTATTCTCTTTTTAAAAAAGATTTATTTTTGTTTCATGTTTTGACTGAATATATGTCTGTATATCATATGTGTACCTGGTGCCTAGGCAACTGAAAGAGGGTCCCAGATTCCCTGGAACTGGAGTGAAGGACCGCTATGAGCCGCCATGTGGGTGCTGGGAACTGAACCTGAGTCTTTTGCAAGAGCGACTTGTGCTCTTAACCACGAAGTCATCACTCTAGGCTCTATTCTCTTTCTTTCTCTCTCACACAGACATTCTCTGTTTGGGGGGGCAGTCTTTTTGAGATGGGGTTTCTCTGTGTAACTTGGCTCTCCTGGAATTTGCATGGTGGATCAGGCTGGTCTTGAACTCAGAGTTGGGTTTAAAGGTGCATACCACTACACCCAGTTGAGTTCTTTAATGCTTGCATCTTTATTGATTACAGAATAGTTTTTTAAATTTTATTTTGTTTTATGTATATGGGTGTTTTGCTTGCATGTATGTCTGTAGAAGGGTGTCAGATCCTCTGGAATTGGAGATACAGACAGTTGTGCGCTGACATGTGGGTACTGGGAAAGAAAGAAGAGCAGTCAGTGCTCTCGACCTCTGAGTTATCGCTCCAGCCCTGAGCAAGTGCTTTTAACCAATGAGCTCTTCCCACCCCTAAACATTCTACTCAAATCATCACACTTTTTTTCTTCTTCAGTGCTGTATGAAACACAGGTGTTTAACACGATGGGCTGCTAAGTCAGCACTCTTTAACTGAACGGCGCCTCCCCAGTCATCGTTATTCACTTATTTATTTATCTATTTATTTATTTTCAGAGACAGGGTTTCTCTGTGTAACAGCCCTACCTTCAAAATGCTGGGAGTAAAGAAAGACTTGCCCGCCAGGCGGATATCTGTGAGTTCAAGGCCAGCCTGGTCTACAGAGCTAGTTCCAGGACAGTTAGGGCTGGTAAACAGAGAAACTTTGTCTTGAGAAACACGCAAACAAACAAAAAGATAAAGAAAGAAAGAAGGAAAGAAAGAAAGAAGGAAGGAAGGAAGGAAGGAAGAAACCCAAAAAACATGTCCCACTACTGCCCAGCATCCCCAGGCAGTGACTAGAGGCCAGCCTTGGAGTTCAGGCCTGTAGTTCCAGCACTCCGAGGCAGAGACAGGTGAATCTCTGTGAGCTGGAGGCCAGCCTGGCCTGCAGAGCGAGTTCCAGGAAACTCAGAGAAACTCTGTCTCAAAAGACCAAAAAAGTACAAAACAAAACAAAAAACCTTACAAGAAACCAACAGGCAGACTATTAGCTGGATCTGGGAGTTGGTGGTAGAAGCCTGTAATTCCAGTTACTTGAGAGGCTGAGAAAGGGGATGGCTGTTTTCCAGCCTAACTTGGGCAATTTAGTGAAACTGTCTCAAAAAACAAACCAACAAAAAAACTTCGCCTTTTTTTTTTTTTTTTTTTTTGAGACAGGGTCTCACTCTGAAGGCCAGGCTGGCCTGAAACTCACTATGTAGACCAGTCTGACCTCAAACTCAAAGCAATGCCCCTGCTTCCATTCAGTCTTCCCGTGCTGGGATTATGGGTGTGAGCAACCACACCCCGCAGGAAACAGATTTTGAGGGATTTAAACTGTTGCCCAAAGTCACACAGCTACTCCGGAACTGATGTCCAGGATGTGACCCTTATGTCATTCCGTCCCCACCTTATTCCCCTCTTTAATTATAGCGGAGTCCAACTGTCCCACCATAGCTAGTTCTGGCTTACTGCTCCTACGGAGACAACATTCAATTTTGTAACTCTCAAGAGGAAGGAAAGTCGATTTAACGAAATGTGTTCTTCTCCCAGAAGTCAGCTATTTTTCCAAGATCACACATGAAGTGACCGGCCTGAACCTTAAAACGTCTAAAGCTCCTACCTGTCACCTCCACAGAGAGTAAATAGCTACTACTGTTAGTCCCTTTACTCGGGGAGCGCTCCCGGGCATGCGCCTTAAAGACAGCTTCCCCCTCCTTTTGGAACGGCCCCGTTCAGGCTCCGCCCACCGTCCCCATCGAGAGCCGATCGCTGAGCAGGAGGGCGGGGCCGCCACGCGAGTGGGCGGGAACTAGGGATTGTGGAGTGTCTGAAGTCGTGCGCCAGAGTCAGAACTGCGTCTACCGTCCCAGGTGTCGGTTGCCGGAGCAGAGCGAGCAAGCGATGCTGCGGCTGCCGCTTCCTGATTGGCTGCGTCTGGCTCCCTCTTCGTTCTGATTGGTCGCGAGTGATCTGGGTATGTAAATGAAGGGGCCTGGTGGGGAGAGACGGGGGTACCGGCGACCCGGTTCTTTAGCGTGTTCGAGCCCCGGGTTAGGGAGATGGTCGCCGGGGCTGTCCGGGATCGAGGCGCCCGGGGCCTGTACGTGACGCTCGTCCGGGCCGGGCTGGGTGAATCACGCTGGAGCCCGAGAAGGGGGCGGAGGCGCCGGCTCTCTGGCTCCGGCTGCGTGACTCACCCGCCCCCGCCGCCGCCGCTCCGGGAGGAGCCGCCTCCGCTGCCTTCCGGAAGCGAGGGGAGACCCTGAGCGCTGAGCGGCCCTCGGGGGTCGCGGCTCGCAAGGGCAGGGGAAGCATAGGCGAGACGCTGAGGAGTGGAGAGGATCCCGGGTCTGAGGGGCCGGAGTCCCCGGGGGAACCCAGATCGGGGTACCGCTAGGGGGCGCCTGGACTCGGGGGCGGAGTCGGGGTGGGGGCTGAATTCCTGTGGTTGCTTGCTCCCGGGTCTTCAGCGAAAAGGGCAAAGACTCGATTTTTAGTGTTAAGTCAGGTCTAGGCAGCGCCCCCAGGACTGAGCCCCTACAACCTTTGTGCCCCCAGTAGATTAGACTAGGGCTCCCAAACTCTAGGCTTCTCAACGTGAAGAAAGTATCGATTTTCAAAACTTCTGTCAATGACTGACTCCCGCGGCCCTTCGACTCTCCCTTTCCAATAAGTTCAGGATCCGCCACTTCCTTGCGTGACTATTAACAGCTTAGGCTCTAAACTCAAGCCGTCAGCATCCCGGCGAGTGCAGCAGCCTCCGAAGGCGGCAGTTCAGGCCCACTTCTATCTCCAAACCTTTACCCCTGACGCTGCCCCACCTCCAATCCTCCCCCAGGCGACAGCTAACATCACGCATCCCCCCCCACCCCCACCCCACCTAGGTCCTCCCTCCATGACTGTCCTGTCACTCTGAAAATCCAAGCCTCCTACTTTTTTGCCCGCGCTTCCTTCTGCCTGCTCCCCACCCCCACCGGTACTTCTACCTCCGAGAGAGAGAGAGAGAGAGAGAGAGAGAGAGAGAGAGAGAGAGAGAGAGAGAGAGAGAGAGAGAGAGAGAGAGGTGTGTGTGTGTGTGTGTGTGTGTGTGTGTGTTGCCTGTCTCGGTTTTCCATTGACTCTTCCGGGAATGCCTAGCCCTGGTTTTCCATAGCCTACACTGCATACATTAGGGCTGGCTCCGATATCTTCTTTATAAAACTGTCCTGATTACCTCCAGGATGGCATCTTCCTACCACTTATTTGTACATTTCCTGTATTTGACTATTTAGTGTTTGATGCAAAGCGGATATTATATGTATCGGACTGTGAAAGAAGGCTGCATTTGTAATCAAGAAGTGGCACATACCTGTAATCCTAACTCTTGGGAGATTGGGGCAGGAGGATTGCCTGGAATAGCCAGCCAGCCTGGACTACAGAGTGAGGCCCTGTATCAAAAGAGCAAAACCAGCTGGGCGTGTTGGTGCATGCCTTTAGTCTCAACACTCAGGAGGCAGAGACAGGGTAATCTCTTGAGTCTGAGGCCAGCCTGGTCTACAGAGCAAGTTCCAAGAAAGCCAGAGCTGTTTCATAGAGTAACCCTGTCTCAAAAAGATAGAAACAAAAAACAAAACAAAGCAAAAAGAGAAAAACCAAAAAATACTTCAAATAAATACTAATTATAAAGGTTAAGAGCTTGCTGTTCCTACAGAGTACCCAAGTTAGGTTCCCAGCATCTGTATCGATGGCTTGTAATTGCTGTAACTCCACCTCCAGGGACTCCAACAGCTGGCGTCTTTGACATCTACTCTTGTGCACACACACAAACACAAAATTTAAAATAAAATTAAAATTTGAAAGTACTAATGACTATGTTGCAAGGGCTTTTTGTTCTTCTAATCTGTGTAGCAACTTATAATGTAAATGCTATCGTATCTTAGAAGTTCACTGAGGAGGCTCAATTGGTAGAATGCTGGCTCTATAGGCAGGAAGCCCTGAGTTCCATCCCCAACATCCAGTATACCAAGTATGGTGGCACACCTGTAGTCCTAGCACTGATGAGGTGGAGAAGGGAAGATCCTAGGTTGGCTATATAGCAAGTTCGAGGCCAACTGAGTTACATGAGACCCTGTCCTGTTAAAAATAAGAATTTGCTGGCGCACGTCTTTAATCCCAGCACTTGGGAGTCAGAGGCAGGTGGATCTCTGTGAGTTTGAGGCCAGCCTGGTCTACAAGAGCTAGTTCCAGGACAGGCTTTAAAGCTATAGAGAAACCCTGTCTCAAAAAACCAAAAAAAAAAAAAAAAAAAAAAAGAAAGAAAAAAAAGAAAGAAAAGGACCAAAGAAAAAAAAAAGAATTTGCTTAGAAAACCTAGACCAGGAGGTTAGTTGACTTGTCAAGCTCACACTGACAGTAGTGGTCAGGGATGGGTATGAGCTGAATATTGGCTTTCCATAACCGAATGACTCCTTCCTCCCTGCAGACGATGCTCAGCAAGGGCCTAAAGCGCAAACGGGAGGAGGAGGAGAAGGAGGAAGCCCTCTCAGTGGACTCATGGTGGTTGGACCAAAGCCACCCAGCAGTGGCACAGACCCCTCCCACCGTGGCCTCCAGCTCTCTCTTCGACCTCTCTGTGCTCAAGCTCCATCATAGCCTGCGTCAGAGTGAGCCAGACCTCCGGCACCTGGTGCTGGTCGTGAACACGCTGCGGCGGATCCAGGCATCCATGGAACCTACAGCTACCCTGCCACCTATGCCCATGCCACCCACAGCCCCCTCTGTGGCAGACAGCCTTCTGGCTAGCTCAGACGCTGGCCTCTCAGCCTCCATGGCCAGCCTTCTGGAAGATCTCAACCACATTGAGGACCTGAACCAGGTTCCCCAACCCCAAGCAGATGAGGGGCCCCCAGGCCGCTCCATTGGGGGTGTCTCACCCAACCTGGGTGCCTTGGACCTGTTAGGGCCAGCCACTGGCTGTCTGCTGGACGATGGACTGGAGGGCTTATTTGAGGACATTGATACCTCCATGTATGATAGTGAACTTTGGTTACCAGCCTCTGAGGGTCTCAAACCTGGCCCTGAGAATGGTCCAGCCAAGGAGGAAACTCCAGAGTTGGACGAGGCTGAACTGGACTACCTCATGGATGTACTAGTAGGTACACAGGCACTAGAAAGGCCTCCGGGGCCTGGGCGCTGACTGCTAGACCCGGACATGGTTGGCTGGTGGTGAGCCTGATGGTTAGACCAATCCACCTTGGCATGACACGGGTGGCTTTCCTTTACACAGGAGGGCGAGGGTCACTTTGGAGAGACAGTCCTGAGTCCTGGGCAATTTCACATTCATCCACTTGTCTTGGCCAGTGAGGGAGTTGGAAATAAGCCCCCAGTGGTGGAGTGACAGGACCTGGTGACTGCAATGTGTTTGGGCCAGGCCGCGGGTTGGATTGATCCCCTGGGATTATAGTCTGGGCTATCCCATCCCATTATCCCCAGTGTGGAAAGAGACCTCATAATTTTTTGAAATTAAAACCAGCTTTGGGGAAATATCAAGTCTGTGTCCTTCATTGCATCTGTACTGATCAAGGATGAAATAACATCAAACTCATAATCCCGTGACACCCCCCACACACACACACAATTATAGTGGAATAAAATGCACGTCCGGCATGAAGTATCTTTGCACAAAGGGCAGGAACTTTCAGGAGGTCTCCCAAAACAAAGCCACTAAGCTTAGTGGAGAGAATGCAGGACCTTCAGGGGCAGGCAGCTGGCTTTCCTTCTAGCAGCAATCATGGGCCGGGCAAGCCGGGGCCACCTGCCTTCTTGAGCGTAGTACTGGGCCTGGACGGAGCCGTGTGTCTGCGGCCGCCCCCGCGGTCCAGCTGCATTCCTGGCCGGGCTGGGAGGGGCCCGCACACTCACAGCCCTGGCACGGGACCCGGGCTGCGTCCTTCCTGGCGGCCGTGGGGGCAGGGCAGGGCAGGGCCCGGGGAGCGGAAGGATGGTGGGGAGGGCAGGGAGGGAGGAGCCGGGGACTGGACTGCCACCCGAAGGGCAGGAGTGGGTCCTGGATCCGGGGACAGTGACACCAAAGGGCCACTCCTGCCTCCCCAGGGGCCGGAAGCTTCAAGACGGAGGCCGGGGTGGAGCTGGAGAGGCGGGAGCTGCAAGCAGCCCCAGGGGCCGGGAAGGGGCGGGCGGAGCTTGGCTTCCTGGAGGAGCGGAGGAAGCTGTGCCCATTTCTGGAAGTGACTGAGGCGGGCTACCAAGAGCAGCGGGTGGACACTGCTGCAGAGAGCTGCTGCCAGGTTAAGAATCCTTTAAGCTCCCGAACCCAAACCTTGGAGACTCCATGCCTAGACCGTAGGACATCGACGGCCCCTGGCCGAGGCATTGGGCGCTCAGGCTGAGCTCTGTTGCTCCCCCTTGTGCCTAGTTTGGAGAGCTACGATGTTACAGGGATCAGTCTGGTGTGGGTCTCCCGCTCTTTTTTTAGACGAGGCTCAAGAAGCCTAGATGGCCTCTAGCTCACTCTATCACGGAGGCTGGCCTTGAACTCCTGGTCCTTCTGTTCTTACCTTAGAAGCTATGGTTTCTAAGATGGGTTTTCACTGTGTACGCCAGCAGGCTGGCCCACTTAAACTTACTATGTAACCCAGGCCGGCCTGTTTGTTTATTTATTTTTTTGTTTATATTACTTGAGTAGTTCTGACTGTCTTGAAACTCCCTACGTATACCAGGATGATCTTGAACTCACAGGAATCCACCAGCCTCTTGAGTGTTGAGTTTAAAAGCATATGCCTGGCTGTCTTTTGAGACAGGGTGTCCATAATACAGTCTACACAGACATTAAACCCCCATCAATCCCCTTCCTCAGCCTCCAGGCTCAAATGTACTTTTCACACAGGGTTGTGTACACAGTAGGTGTTCATAACTACGGAAATTAAGAAGGAGGGAGGATAAGGTGGTTGTGGACAGTTCGTATTGGTGAATGTCTGTGGAAGGGAGCTGCCCTTGGGGGTGTCAGTCTGAATACACAATGGCTGTGTGAAAAGTAGTCACAGTGCCAGTCAGTCAGGGCCGGCGCTTTGCTTGGAATGCAGTGGGCCCTGGAATCTGCTGGCCTGGGAGGCGTGTCCTTCTGAGTAGAACCTGAGCATCAGCTGGACCGAGAGTCTACAGAAGCATCCTGAGGTCAGCTGTGAGGAGAAAGGGACAGGACCTAGGATACAAAGGCATCATTAAGGCTCCAGCAGGATGGTACAGACCTTGAGCCCTTTCCTTCAGGCACTTGACCTTCATCTGCACGGTGCCTGGGACCTGCCCCTTAAAAACGCAACAAAGGCACTGGGGACAAGGAGCGTCAGTCACTAGGGAAAATGTAATGATGCTCACAGATACTGTCGAAGGGACAAGCTTCAAGCAAAGCATGGGGGAATAAAAGAGGTGCTCAAAAGTTGGGCCACTTGGGCCTGTTTATCTGCTTGTTTGTTTGTTGTGGTGTTGGGGATTAACCTAGGGCTTCATGTGCTTACCACATAAGCACTTTACCACTGAGCCAAACTCCCAGCCTCTCGTGTCCCACCTCCCTCCTTTTTGAGACAGGGCCTCTACAGCCCGAGCTATTCTGGAACTCACTAGGTAGAGCAGGATGACCGCTAACTCAGGGATCGGCCAGTCTCTGCCCCCTGAGTGCTGAGATTAAAGGTGTGTGCCACCACACCTGGCTTTACCTTTTGGTTTGTAGTCTAGGTTGCCCTTGAACTTTTGATTGTCCTGCCTCTAGGTTTTAACTAGTTGGGATTACAGGCCTGGACCACAAAGACCTGGCTCCCACCTGCTTTTAAACCCCAACTTGGTCATACTGGGGCTGAGTGTCCAAACTTTTTTGAATTAACCAGTTCTCTGAAAGTTGGAATAGTAAGAGGGTTGTTGCTCTAGAGAGAGGAAGGAAACAGCATTTCTAAGGGCTGAGAAATGATGGACCTTATGTTTTCAGGAGTCTCCAAGCAGCTGGCTGAGTTTGGCTAAAATGAGAAAGAAAAGCTGTAAATTCAATGATGAGACTTGGACGAGAGGGAGGCAGGGGCCAGGGCACACAGGCGCAAGCAGCAACTTTACTGTGAAAATATCAGGAAAAGCCGGGTGTCCCGCGCTACCGTCTCACCCGCAAGAACGAAACGGGACACTTAGGATCCTTCTGCAGAAAAGCTTTAATGCGTCTTGAGAGAGAGAGCATAAGCTTCCAAAGCGGAGACCAAGAATGAGGGGAACCCAGCCCTTATAAAGGAAACAGTCCTCACTTCGGACGTGTCACTCTTGGATTGGTCCGCTGCCCATTATCCCAGATGATGCCTCAGAAGTAGGCAGGGATGCAGCAGTAGACAGTTACCAAGCACATGCGCTGGGATTAAAGGCGTGTGCTACAACACCTTGAACTCACAGAGATCTGCCTGTCTCTGCCTCCCAGGCATTGGGACTAAAGGCGTGTACTACCACACCTTGAGGTCGCAGAGGTCAATCTCTACCTTTGTCCCTTGAAGCAATGGAGAATGTGGTTGCGGCCCTCCACAGCCGGGCACTGGTGGCGCACGCCTTTAATCCCATCATTCAGGAGGCAGAGGCAGGTAGATCTCTGTGAATTCGAGGCCAGCCTGGTCTACAAGTGAGTTCCAGGACAGTCTCCAAAACTGCAGAAAAATCCTGTCTTGAACCCCCCCCCAAAAAAAAAGAAGGAGAAGAAGAAAAGAAAGTACCAGGAAGTCAATCATTTCTGGATTGAATGGGTAGACATGGGGTATGAGGTCACACTGGAATTTATGAACCTATGGTAGGGTCCCTAGGGAGGAGTGGAGCAGCCATCGGGAGAGAAAAGTGACAAAGGGTTGGTGCCAAGCCCACGGAGGGACACTATGTGTGTAAGAGGCTGTGAACACCAAGGAAAAGGCATTGGGTCCCTGGGACTGGACCCCAAAGAGAGTTAGAGAGGAGGAAAGGACCTGATGCGTGGAACGAGGGAGACATTGGTGTCCCTGGGTCAGGAGAGGGTGGTCCCAGGAGGGCCATGTCTACCTCTCTACATCCCCTTCCGTCCCACAGGATGTCCTGTGTTTACGGAGGTGGCTTGGGCTAGTGCCACCCCCATAAACTCAGCTTCCCATGACCACACCTCTTGGGTTAGAGAAAACAAAACAGAGAGAGAGGAAGACATAGAGACAGAGGTGGAAAGACAAGAAAAGAGGAAATACACACACAGAGTAAGGACAGACACGAAGGACCAAGACCTAGACACAGAGAAACATCATTCGTAAGTCACAGCAAGCCAGGAAAGGGGTTAAGCCATGTAGGAAAGATGGACAGACACTATAAACACAGTAATCCCCAGACTCCCAGGAGGCTGAGACAGAAGGGTCACAAGGTCAAAGCCAGCCTGGGCTGCAGAGCAAACCCCTCACTCAGAAGCAGGTTAAAAACCTGGATGTGGTGGCTCATGACTAGTCCCAGAATTTCCATATTGGAGGCTGAAGCAGGAGGACTGCTATGGTCTTGAGGCTAGCCTGGGCTACATAGTAAATAGTAGGAAAGCCTAAGCTAATAGAGACCTTATCTCAAAAAACAAACCAACAACAAAAAGGGCAGCTGACATGAAGGGTTTTTTGTTTTGTTTTGTTTTGTTTTGTTTTTTTCTGAGACAGGCTGTTTTTTTGTTTTGTTTTGGTTTGGTTTGGTTTGGTTTTTTGGTAGCTTTTGGAGCCTGTACTGGAACTCTTTCTGTAGACCAGGCTGGCCTCAAACTCAGATTATAGCTCAGGGTGATCTTGAATGCCATATCTTCTTGTCTTCGTCTCCTACGTGCTGGGATTGTACGTATATGCTGCCACATCTGCCACTGTGAACGCTTCTGGCATGAATAAACAAACAAATGGATGTCTGGTGTTTCTATGACTACATAAAAGAGAGTGTGCCATTGGGTGAGGGTCTTACACTCATCAGCAGCCACCCCCTAGTTTCTAGGATGGTGCCTGGCTAGATTCTGGCCACACCCTGTTGCTTGGTGCCTGCCAGAGCTGGAAGGCATTTCCCAGAGCTCAGCACATTCCAGCCTCCCCTAGTGGCTCAGAGTGGGCAGGGGGCATTTCACAGAGGAAGGGGGTGGCCCTAGCATGCTAGGATCCTGACACCCTGTTTCTGGCCCCATACCCTCAGCATAGGCCCAGACCCCTCCATATGGGGTGACAGGAGGGTCCACAGAGAGATCGCCCAAGCCAATGTGAGGGGCCAGGGTGCAGCCCTGGGACCTGGTCGGACAATGGAGCAGAAGCTGCTGACTATAGCTTTAGGGGTAATCTCCCAGTCTCAGCCTGGCCCCAGCTCTAGGCCTTAGCTTAGAGAGCTGAGAGCATCTGAGACAGCGACCTTGTGGGTGACAGAGGCATGTGGGGGTACCTGTGTTTCTTCTGCCGTGCCCCAGGGTATGGTGAGTCAGGGCAGGCTGGGGGCTGGGGTCAGTGGAGTAGGGGGAGGGATAAGGCTTTGAGGCATTGATTTGA